AAAATAATGAATCAATAAAAATAAAGGAACAAGAAAGGCACATTTTAATATTGATGAGTCTTGGAAACACTGTTGGGTGAAAAAAACTAGTTGCAGAATGATATGTACCTTATGATAGTATTTATACGAACGTATTAAAATTACATACTGAAACACTGTATTTGCTTATGAATGTATTACACTTGAAGAGTATAAAAAAACAGGACTGAACATACCCCAAATGTATGATTTCATCTGAGAAAAGAAGAATGGCGAGAGAGGAATCAAATGGACCCCAGTGTTTTTATATTTTATTTGTTTTAAAATATTAAGCAAAGGAAACACTTAATATTCATTTATTTTGCATGCCACTAATGTATTGCATTTATCTGCATTGTTTAATTTTTGAAAAGTAAATAATCCCATTAAAAATGAAGTGAACTCATGAGAGCGAGCAAGAGAAAAACTTGACAAAATCCATCAAGTATGAAGAGCCCCCAAAGACTCCGCATCCCCAAGAGCTTCTGCTTCTCCTCCATGCGAGGCTCTTTGGCTCTGCTATTGCCATCCCTACGCCTGGGTTTTTGTGGGGTTTTTTTGCAATCTTGACTCAAATGTGGACAAACACTTTCTTGTTTTTATTAGCACCGTCTAGATAAGATGGCGTTTTCAAAAATAATTTTACAAATTAAGAAGATGACTTGAAGAAATATTCACAGTATCAAAAGAATCAATAAAATCAGTTTTAGATTGTATAATTTCTTTTCAGATGGAATTAATTAAAATATCCACCTAACTCACTAAGTAAAGCTGTAAAAGTGGTTTAATGTTTTTACTGGTCCCACTTCCTCCCGTCTTAAAATAAACTTCCTTCTATCCCTCAAGAGTACAATGTTACTCAATTTCTGTTTCCACACTGTGTGGTTAAAGAAAAAGCATTTAATTGTCTATCTAGCCCATTTTCTCTGGGAACTATGACATCCCTAACCAGGGCTAACTCACCTGGAACCAGTCCTGGCCCCAAGACAACACTACAGACCTTTGTCCTGAAGCTCCTTAGGGCTTCCTGTGCTGGAAGGAAGGGTTGAGGGTGGGAGAAAGCCCCAAAGGAGAGAAAGAGAATAGGATCCCATGCAGATCTCAGGCCAGGCTCTACCAGCCTGGGCTGCCTGCAGCCACTGATGAGAGACTCAGAAAATGTTGAGAAGGGTATTCCAAGATGCAAGGGGGTGCCTGAGGAACAGGCGAGGCCGGAGACTCCATTTGGCCAGCCCTAACGGCAATTCTCTCTAACCCTCTCTTCTGCACCGCCCACAAGAAAGCCTCCCGCGGGAGGCTGAGGCAGGAGAATGGCGTGAACCCGGGAGGCGGAGCTTGCAGTGGGCCGAGATCCAGCCACTGCACTCCAGCTTGGGCGACAGAGTGAGACTCCGTCTCAAAAAAAAAAAGAAAGGCTCCCGGAAGCTATTTTTTGCAATGTGATTCTGTCCAAGTGGTCATGTCTGATCTATGTGATCAGTCAGAATCCCTTCAAAACTAAATAATGTTTATGAGAAAATTAGAAAGTAAGATGGAAAGGGATGACTGCCTACTTACTGTGTGAAAAAGAAAAGCAGAGGAAATGAGTACGTTAGAGAAAAACACTGAAACAGTGCACAGAAAGGAATATTAAGAATTCATTACTTTCCTGAGGCCCCAGTTCAAAATTCTCAGCCTGCCAGGTGTCATTCCTCTTACTGAATTCCAGTCACCTGCCTCAGCCACAGCCAAAGGACAACATCCATTGAATAGTCTAGAAGACCAGGCGTCAACACACTTTGTCCTATAAAGGACCAGACAGTAAATGTTTTACTTTTGTGGAACACATAGAATTTGTGTCACTTCCTCTCCTTCTTCTTCCTCTTCTTCCCCTTCCTTCCCCTTTCTCACGCTGTCTACCCTTTCCTTCTTCCTGTTCTTTCCCTTCCTCCTCTTTTTTCTTCTTCTTCTCCCCCTAAAAAAGTAAAAACCAGCCAAGCATGGTGGCTCACGTCTGTAATCCCAGCACTTTGGGAAGCCAAGGAGGATGAATCATCCGAGGTCGAGAGTTCCAGACCAGCCTGACCAACATGGTGAAACCCCATCTCTACTAAAAATACAAAAATTAGCTGAGAGTGGTGGTGGGTAATCCCAGCTACTCAGGAGACTGAGGTAGGAGAATCGCTTGAATCCAGGAGGTGGAGGTTACAGTGAGCTGAGATCAAGCCATTGCACTCCAGCCTGGGTGACAGAGCCAGATTCCATCTCAAAAAAAAAAAAAAAAAAAAAACCTAAAACTAAAAACCACACTACTACAGGCAGTATAAAATAGGTGCGGCAGGCCAGAGGTCTGCAGATGTAGTTTGCTTACTCCTGCATCGACAGTTGTTACCAATATTTGCTGCCCATTACAATTACATGGGGATCTTTAAAAAACATCGATTAGTGTCCAGGTCTCACCCCCAGATATTCCTTTAATTTTTCATTAAATGCTCATAAAATGTATTTAGTAGATCCAGTCATTGGTATTTTTCTAAAAGCTCCCAGGTGAATCTAATATGAAGCCAGAGTTGAGAGCTGCTGGAACATCTGCTGAATTCATTTCAGAGCTTTGCCTGCTTTGGGATCATTCTGTATATTCTAAGGATATATCTAAGTGAACTCCTTAGCAATTATGTATTGAACTTCTTCTGCAATACATAATTGCATGTAGAAAAGAAAATAAATCTATGAGAGATTCCATCCCTGTCTATTCCACTTGTTTAGAACTAACACCTTCTAAAAGTTTGGGCATAATAGATTGTTGCAAAGTTACCCTCATTGTTGCCTTCTCCTTGATCGGCAATAAAAAGTGACTGTAACTGTCGTTGGGGATAGGTTTGTCATAGGAGGGTGGGGAAGATTAGGTATTGTTGTTGTAAATCTCTTCAAAAGATGGTACTCATTATATTTTTGTTTTTAACCATTTGTTACAAAATATTTGCAGTATTTTAGATCTCACAATTTATTTCACTAATTTTAAGTAATATTTCATGTTCCCTAATGTTTCTGACGTTGAAAAATTTTTGCAGCACAGATTTATTCAATCCATGAGGTACCTTTACTATATAAATAATAATAGCATGAGCAATTGAGTTGTTTGGTTTTACTAGTTTACCTTTAAGAATCTCTGGCAATTTCCAGGTAATGTTCATATGTTATATAAATCCATTCAACCCATTTCCTTTCAGATGCTGCTACTTTCGTATACTTGTTCATACCAAACGTGAGCACAGATTCTCCCTGCCATTCCACCACACTTTACATGAAGACTCTGAGACAATAAAATGTAAATGCAGCACAGCTTAAAGCTGAATACAGTTGAAAGCTGTTTTGAGTTAGAGCACTCAAGTCCCACTGTAGGATTCCCTCTATAAGGTATCCACCTTCTTAGGTGCCATATTGCCCTGGCCTGCTAATTTCTTCCCAATAGGTGGGCCCTTAATCAGTCATCACCCTGAAACCTCATATTCCCAGGTTCCTGAAACCTCATATTCCATTCTTCGTTCCTATGATATGACATAAATATGTGGCATAAAGGAAGGTGAGCTGAGTTAGCATATCTATTAAACTAATAGTCTGGTTTGGAACGAATCATTTTGCAGCATAGGTAATGAATACACTTTAATATGTAGCCTTTTCAAACTTCATTGTCTTTGGCTGCTACTTAAAGACTCATCACTGTACAAAGCACTTGGGATTTACACCTGCCCCACTGGCCCAATAACTCTAGAGGCTGACAAGGAAACTGAAGTTCCCTCTGTGAAAGTGACTTAGTTCAGGTTCTGTTCCAAAACCCCGATATTTCTGTGATATTTCAGTATTTACATAGGACTGGAATGTTTTTAGTTTCCTAGTGCTTTTTTCTCTTTCTTTCTTTTTTTTTTTTTTTTTTTTTTTTTTGACGGAGTTTCACTCTGTCACCCAGGCTGGAGTGCAGTGGTACAATCTCGGCTCACTGCAGCCTCTGCCTCCCAGGTTCAAATGATTCTCTTGTCTCAGGCTCCCGATTAGCTGGGATTACAGGCTCCTGCCATCATGTCCGGCTAATGTTTTTGTATTTTTAGTAGAGATGGGGTTTCACCATATTGGCCAGGCTGGTCTCAAACTCTTGGCCTCAAGTCATCTACCTGCCTCGGCCTCCCAAAGTGCTGGGATTACAGGTGTGAGCCACTGCATCAGGTCTCCTGGCGCTTTTCTCTTTTTCTTTTTTTGTTTTTGAGATGGGAGTCTTACTGTGTTGCCCAGGCTGGAGTACAGTGGCGCAATATTGGCTCACTGCAACCTCCACCTCCTGGGTTCAAGCAATTCTCCTGCCTCAGCCTCCCGAGTAGCTGGGATTACAGGCACTGCCACCACGTCCAGCTAATTTTTTTGTATCTTTAGTAGAGATAGCGTTTCACCATGTTGGCCAGGCTGGTCTTGAACTCCTGACTCAGGTGGTCCACCTGCCTCAGCCTCCCAAAGTGCTGGGATTACAGGCGTGAGCCACCACACCCAGCCTAGTGCTTTTTTCTTGATCTATACTTTCTATTTGTCCATTGCAATAGATAATGGAGGATTGACTCTAAGGTTACTACAGTGGATTATTATCCCTATTACTACTACTATTACCTTATATTTAAATCATTAACTGATTAAAAACAGAAACCAATGGAAAAGACATAGGATCCTTCAGTTGCCAGTGTCACAATCTATGTGTGAAATTATCATCAACTGTCTTCGAGGTATCAGTACTACCTCCAATTAAACATAGACAATGGTTTCCAGGGAAATATATAAAGTCATGAGCAGAGTTTGAAGAAATGCTCCAAAGTCCCAAACGCTCTCCATTCTTTGTGGGCAAAGAAGTGGTAGAGGCCCCAGGGAGGCCTTAAAAGTTTTCTAGGGACTTAAAGTCAAAACAGCGTTCCTTTGAATACCGGTAAACAATACTTTGAAAGGGGATCTCAAACACACACTCATTAGAAAGCAGCAGGAAATGGTTTTATTGCTGTGAACACAGGGCAATAAAGCTTGGCAAAAGTTGCAGGGTTAGAAATCGGAATCTTTCTTTGCTCTCTTCCCTATTCTCTTCTCTCGAAAAGTACAGAACTACAAAGCAGAAGATAATCTTATTTCTTTTCGTCTCAACTCTGGTCTGGTATCCTAGGCACTCTAATTCTCCCAACACCCTTCTTCTTTCTTCTGTGGGAACAGGAAAATCAACAAAAGAAAATAAAACATGGATGCGGTTGTAACAGAAGCTATGCCAAATGAAAGGAAAAGCAGTGGATGCCTTAGACAATACTATCTAAGTGTACAGGAACCAACTTGTAGGGGGGGTCGCTCTTCTGAGGGGGGTCACAGGCAACAATGAAGAATTTGTACAGGCCGGCGGCACTATAGCGGCACTGGGGGTACTTTCCTGAAGTGAGTCTGCAATCAGTCATGTTGACAGGCTTTGAGCTCTGGTGACAGTTGTGCTGACGATTTTTGCAGATGATGCTGAGCAAATCACAGACAGCAGCCACATTCTGGAAAGAGTCATGCAGAAAGGTATTTTGATGCTTACAGTGCTGGGTGTAATTGTTGATGCCACTCATTGCCCTGTTGCATTGGAGAGGACTTGGCTGTATATGCTGAATTTCAAACCAATGAGCCCTGGTGAGATGCTTAGGCCAAGCATGAAGTAGACACACTGGTCCCCATAGAACCAGCAGCAATAAAAGAAGAGGAAAGCGTAGCACCATCTTTTCTGTGTAGAAAGAGAGAAGATAATTATAGTAGGAGAAGCAATAAGAGCAAACATTTTCGTCATAACTATTTAGATTTTTATTTTGCCTTTTAAGATGTTATAGCTCCCTTTTAAAAACCATCCTCGGCCGGGCGCGGTGGCTCAAGCCTGTAATCCCAGCACTTTGGGAGGCCGAGACGGGTGGATCACGAGGTCAGGAGATTGAGACCATCCTGGCTAACATGGTGAAACCCCGTCTCTACTAAAAAATACAAAAAACTAGCCGGGCGTGGTGGCGGGCGCCTGTAGTCCCAGCTACTCGGGAGGCTGAGGCAGGAGAATGGCGTAAACCCGGGAGGCGGAGCTTGCAGTGAGCTGAGATCCGGCCACTGCACTCCAGCCTGGGCGACAGAGCGAGACTCCGTCTCAAAAAAAAAAAACAAAACAAACAAAAAAAAAACCATCCTCTTTCTCACAGAGTCTCACAATTCTATAAAGAACCTGAAGCCCAGGAAACAGAAATATGACCTCTCCTTTGATTGGCCTATCCCATTTTCTTTCACCTGTACTCATGCATTTGATGACTGTCATATCAGAAACAGTTTCTTCCGTCTTCCCTCCTGAAATATTTACCCTCTATCTGACCACTACCTCCCAGCCGTCTTTACTGCTCTGCTTGCTCCAGCCCTGAGGCCTTCTTTCTTACCTGGTCTCAGTGTTGGGGCTCCTACTGAGAACCGAGGCTGTGATTAGTTCAAAGCTCAGAAGCTGTTGTCTGCCTTTCTTCTCTAACCCTTCAAGTCCTGTGTGTGTAGGGAAGGGGAAGAAATATTCTGAGCTTTCAGAAGGAGAATCCTAGGGCTTGGCAGATTAACTTCTTGTGCAGAGTTTAGATTAAACTCTTAGACTTTCACGCCTGTTCTTTAAAACAGTATCATTATCACGCGTATACAGGAAGGCTAAGCCGACTTAAAGAAACAACATGACTGAAAACTCACAGTTTTGAGGAACTGATCACTTCCTGATATGGGTTGAGTGCTTCCTGCCTCATCTGAGGCTTCAGTGTTTTTTTTTTTTTGAAGCTTTATGATTTCTGTTTCTTAAGAGAAAATATGTCACATAAATATGATATAATACCTGCCACATACTTGGTAATGTTGTAAATTCCTACAACAGATGTGAATAAATTATTCATTTATTCAAATACTTATTGGGCCAGGCACTGGGCTACACAAATTCAGGAGCTCACGATTTAATGAAAGAGATTAGAGACAGGCAGGTAAGTATATAGACAAGTAGATTATATTAATATAAGTAGCACTTACAGTGTGATGGAGGACACTACAGGAGGCTACGGGAAGATAGTAGAGGGGAAGGATTGTTGGAGGGCAAAACACCTGAACTGAATTTTGAGGAATAATTACAAGTTAGGTGAAGAGAGTGTTAAGGGCCTCCCAAAGACGGAATTGTGTATGAAAAGACCCGTAAGCCTGAAGAAGAAGGCTGAATTTAGGATGTTTGCCTCTTGAATCTGTTCTTACCTTTTCACTGGTACTGCAACACCCTTATTCAGAAACTCATTGTCTCATGGAGGGCTCACATAAAAGCCTCCCACGTGGACTCCTTGCCTTGCTTTTTTCTCCTTCCAATCCATTCTACACATTACTTCCAGATTAGTCTTTTTTGGAGCAAGATATAATAGTACAACACTCTTGCCTCATGCTTTTATGACTCCAAATATCTGCAGAATAAACATAATGTCTGTTTATAGCAGGGTTGCAGGATACAAGGTTAATATACAAAAGTCAGTTGCTTTCTTATATACCAGCAATGAACAATTGCAATTTGAAATTTAAAACACAATACCATTTATATTGTACCAAAGAAAGTGAAATACTTAGGTATAAATCTAACACATTATGTAAAAATTGGCATGAGGAAAAATTTTAAACTCTAATGAAAGAAATTGAGGAAACATAGATACTCCATGCACATGAGTAGGAAGACTCAATATGTTAAGATGTCATTTCTTCTCAACTTGAGCTCAATAGATTCAGCACAATCCCAATCAATGTCCCAGCACATTATTTTGTGGATAGTGACAAACTGACTCTGAAGTTTATATAAAGGTAAAAGATTCAGGTCGGGCATGGTGGCTCACGCCTGTAATCCCAGCACTTGGGGAGGCTGAGGCAGGGGGATCATGAGGTCAGGAGATTGAGACCTTCCTGGCTAACACGGTGAAACCCTGTCTCTAATAAAAACACAAAAAATTAGCTGGGCGTGTTGGTGGCAGGCGCCTGTAGTCCCAGCTGCTTGGGAGGCTGAGGCAGGAGAATGGCATGAACCCAGGAGGAGGAGCTTGCAGTGAGCCACGATCCCACCACTGCACTCCAGCCTGGGCAACAAAGTGAGACTCCATCTCAAAAAAAAAAAAGATTCAGAATAGTTAACACAATGCAGAAAAAGAACAACAAAGTCAGAAGACTGACATGACCCAACTTCAAAACTTACTATAAACCTACAGTAATTAAGATAGTGTGGTATTGGTGAAAAATAGACAAGTAGGTCAATGGAACCAAGTAGAAAGCCCAGAGGTAGACCCACACAAATATAGTGAACTAATCTGTGACAAAGGATCAATTTTCAATTGAGAAAAGGTAGTCTTTTCAACAAATGGTAGAATTGAATGTCCACATGCAAAAAATAAATCTTTTCATAGATTAGATTTCATATCTTTTCATAGACCTGGACTTTACACCTTTCACAATTTTTTTTTGAGATGGAGTTTCACTTTTGTTGCCCAGGCTGGAGTGCAATGGCGTGATCTTAGCTCACTGCAACCTCCACCTCCTGGGTTCAAGTGATTCTCCTGCCTCAGCCTCCCGAGTAGTTGGGATTACAGGCATGCACCACCACACCCAGCTAATTTTGTATTTTTAGTAGAGACAGGGTTTCACCATGTTGGTCAGGCTGGTCTCAAACTCCTGACCTCAGGTGATCCGCCTACCTCGGCCTCCCAAAGTGCTGGGATTACAGGTGTGAGCCATCGTGCCTGGCCACACAAGTATTAATTCAAAATGGATCATAGACCTAATGCGAAATGCAAAACTTTAAAAATTCTGGAAAATAACATAGGAGAAAATCTAGGCAACCTCAAGTTTGGCAATGATTTTTTAGATATAATAGCAAAAGCACAATCCATGAAAGAAAAATATTGATAAGTGGAACTTAATTAAAATTAAAAGCTTCTCCTCTGCAACAGATACTATTAAGAGAATAAAAAGACAAGCCAGAGACTGAGAGAAGATATTTGCAAAAGATATATCTGATAAAAGAATATTATCCAAAAAGAACTCAAAAAACCTCTACCATAAGAAAACCAACAACCTAGCTGAAAAATGGCCAAACATCTGAATGGTATGGGGCAAAGACAATTTTTCCTCTCCCTCTGAAGGTTCAAAACTTCTGAAAAGAACGGACAATAGACAGATTAATGGGAGAAAAAGGCATACAAATTTATTATTGTGCATAATCATGGGAACCATACAAATTATGAGACCCAAAAAAGACTAAATAGTTGAAATTCATATACCCTCTTCATAGGCGAGGGGAACATGGGGAAAATGTAAGCAATTCTGAGGAGTTTTAAATGCTTTTTAGGGAATTGGCCCCAAAGAGCTGACAATAGTTTGTAAATGAGTCTCTTTGGAAGCTGAATGGAAGGGTGACGAGTTATGGGAAGGTGAAGGGTGGAACTGCACTATGAACAAAGGTTGTCTCATTATACGGATAAAGTCTCTTAGGTACTCTTTTGGAACTGCTCTTGGAAGAATAGATGAAACGTCTACCTGAGTGTAGTGTGAAGAGACTTTTAGTCTCTTCTCTTTTCAAGTGGCTAATATTTCCTGTTTATCTGATGAGATTTTTAGAAAGGGGGATCTTAAGACAACTGCATTGCTTGGAAGAAGTTTTCCTTATCCAGACAAGGGAACTCCCAGAGAGAGCTCCTCTCTGCCTTTGAGAGCTAGGGGGAGGAAAAAGAGCAGATTAGAACATCTTTGGTCCTGAGGCAGCTTCTAAGAACTTTTGATTTCTTTAGTTCTTTAATTCTAGGTAAATTTAATTATTTAATTTAATTTACTTTCTTTAATTCAAAAGTGTTCAAAATGCCAGTGCATCATAGTTTGTAGTATGATTCTCTGCACCCCAACACTTCACCAAACAAGATATACAGATGGCAGACGAGCAGTGAAAAGATGTTCAGCATCACATTATTTGCAGAGAAACTTTTCCCCTCTCATTTTAGGTTTCAGAGGTGGTGGCAAAGGAGCTTGTGAATTAGAAAAAGATTAACAGGAGAAAAATTCAAAGTTTATTTACACATGCACACAGGAGTATTACGTAATGAGTAACTTGCTGAATAGCCAGAGGTAAAGTTATACACCAACTTTAAAAAAGTGTTTCTGGCGAAGTGTAGTGGCTCATGCCTGTAATCCCAACATTTTGGGAGACTGAGGCAGGAGGATCACTTGAGGCACAGAGTTTGAAACCAGCAACATAGCAAGACTCCTATCTCTATTTTTAATAAAAAGATTTGGCTGGGCGCGGTGGCTCACGCCTGTAATCCCAGGACTTTGGGAGGCCAAAGTGGGCAGATCACCTGAGGTCAGGAGTTTGAGACCAACCTGGCCAACATGGTGAAACCCCGTCTCTCCTAAAACTACAAAATTTAGCCAGGCATGGTGTGGGCGCCTGTAATCCCAGCTACTCGGGAGGCTGAGGCAGGAGAATCTCTTGAACTCGGGAGGTGGAGATTGCAGTAAGACAACTCCTGGGCAACAAGAGTGAGAGTCTGTCTCTAAACTAAAATAAAAAATAAAAAAGATTTTTGTTGGGGCTTCAAAAGGAAAATATGGAAGGTTCTAGTAAACTTTCTGATGCTAATAGAAATGGGTAAATTGATTTCTTCCTGGCTGGAAGTTTCCTTGTATGGGGGTTTATGGCAGCAAATGTTCACATCCCAGTGCTAAGGGGCTGTTTCCTTTTAAACAGGAAAATACCTTTGAAGGGGATCAATGGCAACTGAATTTTCAGGGGGCTTCAGTTAAGTTTAGACAGTGTTTCTTTCTGCAGCTTCTGCCTGTTCAGACATTTTCAGTTTAAAATAATTTTCATGCCACTATAGTCATAACAGATTTGTTACTTGATGCACAACAAATGGATATAGTAAGACAACAGCGACTGAAAAAAAGAAAGAGTTTAATTTTCATAGGGCAGCCAAATGAGTACATGGGAGGTAACCTAAAATTTGGTTTTGGGTTTAGGGATAGGGTTTTTAAGGAGTCTGGAAAAGGGCCAAAGTGTGAGGATTTCTGATTCATCAAGAAGTGAGGGGTGAAGTCATGGGACAGGGACATGAAGAAATTCAGCATCCTTGTGCGAAGCCAGTTCCTTGGTAGGGGTCTTCAGACTGGTTAGCATTAGCTGTTGCACTGGAATTCAGGATCAGAAAAACACCTTAAGCAATTCTTAAGCAAAAAGGTCTCATGATTCTGGTATCAGAGATTCTACCTATAGGAACAATTGGGGAATAGGTGGTCAGCATGCTACTTGCGAAATTAGAAGCTACAGGGAAGTGGGTTGAAGTGTACCAGCATGCTATGATTAATGTGCAATTCTGCCTAGAGCCTGGCTTGCAACACTCCATAACTCTGCAAGGGCAGTATTGCCATAATGGTGGGCTGTGAATCCCTTCAATCTATCATTAGAAAATTGCACATCAAAACAATGGGATAATACTACACACCTACATGAATGACTAAAATGCAGTGAAAACTGACATCATCAAAGCTGGTAAGGATGCAGAGCAGCAAAAATGCTGATTGACAGGACTTTGAACCTGGAGGCATATTTTGGGGTGACATATTCTTGTTTCCTATGAGAGTTCAGTTAGGCTAACTTGGATCTCACAACCATCCCTTGGCTCAATAGAGGGGACTGCAGACCTTAGTGGACAGCCTCACCAATACTGCACACAAAAGAGGAAGGGTAGGTACCTAAGGGGAGTCAATATGCAGCTATCCAAATAAGGGGTGGACCACCAGGAAAGCCAGAGAAACAACACAAAGCTATTACTAATTGCCCTTAAATCTACTTTCCTCCTGTACTATTTTGAACAACCATCTGCTAACCCTTTAATAAAAGCGAGTTTTAAAGAGTTACTTAAATGAGGTATTTGTGAGAAACTACTATAGGAGACCAGAATATGTCACCCCAAAATATGCTTCTGTAGTACAAATACTATTTTGAACTGCTTATTTTGAGAAGCAATATACACAAGACAAGCTCTGAAAATAGAGTCCACATTGCCCTTTTGTAAGGAAATTTGCGTTTATAAGGGAAACCTTCATTTGTAAGGATGTCTCCCTCTCTGTACCAGAAAGAGAAAGGTGACTCTAAATCAAAAGAAACCCTTATCAGTGGAGAAGGTACTGACTTAAATCTGCATGAGTAAGCTTTCCCTTGTGTACTATGCTTTTCCTGGTCATCTCCCTGTAAGTTGCTCCCCGACACGCTTCTTCCTTTGCTTTAACTGAAGGCATTTAAGTCTAAGTTCTAGCCACCTCTTTGAGTTGCTTTCTGAGCTCCTCTCATGTATACATGAGATACACATGTTACTACGTGTCTATTTTTCTCTTGTTAATCTGACTTTTGCTACAGTGGCCCCAGCCAAGAACCAAATGGGTAGAAGGAAAATATTTTTCCTTTTCTACATATATCTTGAAGAGCGTTTGGCAACTGAGAAAAACAAACAGTATTGTTTCTTCTCATATGTATATTGATCCTACAGGCAGAGCTGCTGGTTTAATACTAGTCTCTTCTGAGTTTGGTTGGTGGAGATTGTCATCCCCAGGTGTCTGCTCCTCCCCAGGTGCACTCAAAAATTGCAAAGTTGAGGAACTGCCTTTGGAACATGATGACCAATCTAGATACACTGACTACTCATTGAGACCAGAGTTATAGGAAAGTGTGCAGTCACTTAATACATAATGTTGCCACTTTGGCCTTTCTTTCAATTGTTTCAAGGCCAGAGTCATTCCACATTGTAGGAGTCTGAAGAACACAAGGTACTTTAACGTTTAGCATTTTCCCTGCCCAAACTGCTCTAGGGAAAATTGTATGAAGTAAATATTTCTTACTTTGCATCTCACTCCTGCAATTAGCAAACAGAATTTCTCATGGACTCAACTTGCTTGTGAACCCAACATTTTTGTTTTGTTTTGCTTTTGTTTTATTTGAGGCTGGCTGGAGTGCAGTGGCGCAATCTCGGTCCACTGCAATCTGCGCCTCTGGGTTCAAGCGATTCCCCTGCCTCAGCCTCCTGAATAGCTGGGACTACAAGTGCGTGCCACCACACCTGGCTAATTTTTTTTTTTGTTAGTAGAGAGGAGGTTGCACCATGTTGGCCGGGATGGTCTCAATCTCCTGACCTCGTGATCCACCTGCCTCAGCCTCCCAAAGTGCTGGAATTACAGGCGTGAGCCACTGCACCCGGCCTTCCCAACACTTTTTTATCCCATTTATTTCCTCTTTCCTACACAAAATTTAAGTCTTAAGCTCCATTCTTGAGCAATATTGCAGTTTAAAGTCTTTCAACCCCTGCCCTGTCTCTACCAAATAAAAATGGTTATTTTCAGATAAAATTATTTGTGCTAATATATTCTACTTGATGTGTTGTCCTTAGGAAATGTAATGCCTAGTCCATCTTTTTTTCGAGCTAGAGTCTCACTTTGTCACCTGGGCTAGAGTACAGTGGCATGATCTCAGCTTACTGTAACCTCTGCCTCCTTGGTTCAAGGGATTCTCGTGCCTCAGCCTCCCAAGTAGCTGGAATTACAAGCATGGGCCACCATGCCTGGTTAATTTTCTTATTTTTAGTAGAAATGGGGTATCACCATGTTGGCCAGGCTGGTCTCAAACTCCTGACCTCAAGTGATCTGCCTGCCTCAATCTCCCAATGTGCTGGGATTACAGGCATGAGCCACCTCATCTGGCCCTTAGAAACATTCTTTTTTGGGTTGTTTTTTTTTTTTGGAGACAGAGTCTCTCTCACTGTCACCCAGGCTGGAGTGCAATGGCACGATCTCAACTCACTGCAACCTCCACCTCCTAGGTTCAAGTGAGTCTCCTGCCTCAGCCTCCCAAGTAGCTGGGATTACAGGCACCTGCCACTATGACTGGCTAATTTTTTGTATTTTTAGCAGAGATGGGGTTTCACTATGTTGGCCAGGCTGGTCTCGAACTCCTGACTTCATGATCCTCCCACCTTGGCCTCCCAAAGTGCTGGGATTACAGGTATGAGCCACCACGCCCGGCAGAAACATTCGTAATGAATTGAGTCCAGTAGGGACATCTGTAGGTCTGTGGTTGATAAAAGAGGAGTTCCTTTTTTTTAAATCCTAGGAATGTATAGCTCCCATACAAATGTCAACAAAAAAAGTCAAACTCCATAAAACATTTAAAAAGGTTTACTATGAGCCAAATGTGAGTGACCATGGCCCCAAGGCATAGTCTCAGGAGGACCTGAGAACATGTGCCCAAGGTGATTGGTTTACAGTTTGGTTGTGTAGCTTTTAGGGAGATATATGAGTCAATATAGGTGATATATACATTGGTTCAGTCCAGAAAGGCAGGACAACTTGAAGCAAGGGCTTACAGGAATTAGTTGAATTCAAAGATGTTTTGATAGGCAATTGTTTGAAATAATTGTTATTATTGAAAAACCTAGACTCAATAGATAGGAGTGTCTGGGTTAAAATAAAGGATGGTGGAGACCAAGGTTCTTATTATGTAGATGAAGTCTCATAGGTGGCTACCCTTAGAGACAATAGATGGCAAATGTTTCCTATTCAGACCTTTAAAAGGTGCTAGACTCTCAGTTAATCTCTTCAGGATTGGGAGGGCCTGGAAGGGGAAAGATCTGATTATGTTCATAGAAATTCCTTACAGATGCAACTTTTCCCCACAGAAGATGGCTTTGCAGGGCCATTTTTCAAAATAAGGCAAAAAATATTTTGGGATAAAATATTTTGATTTCTTTATCTGTCATGTGATGTTATGGCAGAGTCAGGTTGGAAAGTAAGCCACATTAAATTACTTATTTTCACAGTGGTGATATGCTTTAGTTCCACTCAGATTTGAGGGTATTGGCAGAACTGACTGGGTATAAACATGAATTATATAGAGTTAAATAAAACCCACTTAATAATATTTTATGGTTTTCAGGGTGTGATTCTCCAAGGCCCTTAGTTAGGAATTTGAGCAAGAGAGAAAAAAAAGGTCAGAATTCAGTCCTCACAGATGATGGCCTGCTGTATTTTTTGTTTGCTTATTTGTTTTTATTTTTTGAGATGCTTTGGTTCTGTCACCCAGGTTGGAGTGCAGTGGCACCATCTCAACTTACTGTAGCCTCCACCTCCCAGGTTCACGTGATTCTCTTGCCTCAGCCTCCCGAGTAGCTAAGATTACAGGTATGTGCCACCACACTTGGCTCATTTTTTGTATTTTTAGTAGAGACAGGGTTTCACCATGTTGGTCAAGCTGGTCTCAAACTCCTGACCTCAAATGGCAAACTCTTGACCTCAAACTCCTGACCACCCGCCTCAGCCTCTCAAAGTGCTGGGATTACAGGTGTGAGCCCACATATCCAGCATGTATTTTTATTGTGTAAATCCCCATCTCTAGAGTTAGGGAGAGCAAATGATTGATGAGCACTTGTTATGTTTGTTTATCAAAGTCAAAATGAAAGTACTAAGCCAAAGAATGAGTTGAGAAAAGAAGCAATTTTCACTGAGCACCTACTATAAGCAAGAAACCATGCTACGTGTTTTACACCCAGTGAGCTCTGCCAGTGCCCCAAAATCTGAATGGAACTAAAACATGTCACCACTGTGAAAATAAGTAATTTAACAACTCAGTTGTTGGAACTCTAAATTATTTTTAACCTTAAAGAAATGTGATTTTGGGGCCTCAGCCACATGCCAGGCCACTGTAACCAAGGCAGCTGTAACCGTGGTTTCTCTGTTTATAGATTAAACCTTCTTTCTTGCCTGCATTGTTTGGTGAAATGTTGTAATTTACCGAAGGGTACAGGAGAAGACTCCTTTCCTCTCCACTGTTGGTCTTCATTATAGAGTAACTTCCCTCTCCTCTTAGAAAGACTTCATCACTATCACATTAAGATGGAATGTTAAAAACACTCTTTTAAATTGAAAAGGAAGTGAAAACAAGCTATAAAGAAAAGAAAAGAAGACTTGAAGTCAGGGACAAACTGTAACGAATTAATTTGTTGTAACTCTAAAACCAGCTGGTATAGAAATTGTTGTAATTCTGTTGAATTCTTTTGTCTTTTTCCTACATAAGCAAGAACTTAATTTTCAGCTTTGGAGCACTGAACCCATTTCTGTGGAGTCTGTGTGTCACTGAATGGCCACTCCTAGCCTTTTGATTGAATCAACTCTTTAAAACTGGATTCTGACACTTTTGATTATTTCAAATTGATGCTGCAATCAATGCCTACATCACAACTTGTATTGAACTAAGCACACAATCATTTACACCCTCATCATATACACAAACATATTACATACATTAGACATACACCCATAAAATATACCTTAAATCCCTTGCACAGCATCAATCACATGCATAGTCTAGATCACACACACCCATATCAATCACACAATACTTACTCCGTGCACATAACATATATGAATGTCACACACACATTGGAATCATATAATTTATTTAGGGAAGGGAAGATTGTTCAGCTTGGGTATGTATTAAGAGAGGGAATATCAGGAAGTCTTGGGTTAGTCAAGAACAGATGCCATATGAGCTGAATGTTGACAAAAGTGCAAGAGTAAATTAGGTAAATGAAGACAAAAGTGTATTCCAGTCAGAGAAACAACACAGGCAAGGTTATGGTATCAAGAAATTATGCTATTCATAACTCTAAGTATTTGGAAAACATTGACAAATAAATGCAAGTGGGGAGTGGTAGGGGCTATTGATGGAGGCAGGGGCCGCTACTTAGAAAGCACTGAATACTCTACCAATACCTGAGGATGTGCATAGACTTTCTAGTTGCTGATAGGTTCTATCATCTTTAGGTCTTCTATCCTATCAACATACCCATCCATGCTACAATGGAATTCAATGTAGTTGAAGCTCCTGCTCTCTGTGTAGCTATTTTTGGAGTTCTCCTGGTGACACTTGAGTACTTTGAGAGGATTCTGGACCCATACATATGCATTTCGGAAGCGATCCATCCAGTTGTCACTAGTGCATATATGCTCGATTTTGTACCACGAGATATAGATAAACATGTGAGAGCTCTTGTCTTTCAGAGCTTCATTTTCTCTCATGAGGACATCACATTTGTACTCTTTGAATTCTCTACTTGGACTTAAGTAGTGCAGTTTCATGAATTCTCTCCAAGAAACTTCCTTGCTCTGTACAAGCAGTGTGCATAGGATGCAAAGCAGGGCCAAGAGTGTGCCCCAGATCTTTAGAGACGATGCCATCTCAGTCACCAGGGCCACCTGTGTGTCCACAGAAAAGAGAAAGAAAAGCGTTATCCAGACAATGCCCAGAGAGCTGAGCTCCACCTTAAAATTCCTTCCCCACCAGGCAGGTACTTGGGTGCAATTTTACTATTTGGTTCCCCAGTGAGAAGATGATAATTCTCATTAGAGAATCGAGTTTCTAAGAACTAAAAGCATGCTTCAGCCTGTGTGAGCAAATCACAAAATTAGAAAAAATAGATGAAGTTCATTTTGAGAATTCCAAGCATCTCCTGTCGTCCCTCTCTTACTGCCAACCTGAGGAGCCGATCACCCTCCAGCTGGCTCATTTTTACCAGACCAACTCTCAGGAGATCATGTGTCCAAAAGAGATGATATTTTAAGGTTTATGTCCTTGAAGTGGAAAGGGTTGTCAGATTTTAGGGAAATGTAAAAGATGAGTAACTACTTGGGAGGTGGTTCCTAGGCAAGGCTTCGATTTCCTGAAATGATAGCCCAGCCTGCAATTACACTGACTCTGCAAAATGATGCTTCTCCAATTTTGACTTCCTTATAACACTTTCTCCAAAGCCTGAGTGGAACATACGTTCATTACTAACTACCCATATTCCTTCTCAGGGGTTATTCCCCTAATTATCACTATTACAAATGATCTTGGTTTGTTGGAGCTGCTCCTTGAAAATGTCATCATAAAAGAACTCCAGTTTTGAGGTTTTTGTTTGTTTGTTTGTTTGTTTTTGAGACAGAGTCTCACTATGTCACCCAGGTTGGAGTGCAGTGGCACAGTCTTGGCTCATTGCAACCTCTGCCTCCAGGGTTCAACAGATTTTCTGTCTTAGCTTCCCACGTAGCTGAGATTACAAGGTGCCCACCACCACACCCAGCTAATTTTTGTATTTTTTTAGTAAAGACAGTTTCACCATGTTGGCCAGGCTTGTCTCGAAATCCTGGCCTCAAGTGATCTACCTGCCTCGGTTTCCCAACCAGAATTCCAGATTTGAAATATTCCTGTAATCAATCAAGTACCAAAACTAAAAGGGTCCCCACAGTGGCTTCTCTGGTGATAGCATGGAGTGTGGGGGTCTTTTTGAAAGAGTCTGCCCTTTAAACCAGTGCTCTGTCCTCATTTATCATGAGAAGTGTTCCTGCCCTTACTGAGTCTCTAACCTGATTCACAACTCTAAGCATTGGTGTCCTCAGATGGATTTAATAATAGCTCCCTACAGAGCTGCGAGAGTCTAATGAGACCCATGTATTTGAGAGCACTTCTAATGACGTCAAATGTCCACATCAGACACAGAATAAAGGGTGGGTACTTCCTATCTGTGGAACCCTGTCCTGATGATAAAGACCTGAAGAGGATAGAAGAGCAGGATGCAAGTGGTTTTAATGCATTGTGTTTGAGAAGACTTGGGGTGAAGGAAGGGAGGGGCAGGGAAAAGCTTGTATCAGTGGGACTGAGGCTGACCAGAATTCAGGCCTTTGTTTTCCATGATTTGAATCCTTCTCCATTTTTTGCTATCTAAAAGTTCAATCAGCCTCCTTCCAGTGCTCCTGGCTGTTCCCCGAGCACCCTCAGCAGAGCCCTTCTTACCCTACTCAGACTCCAAGTTCAGGTCACTGGTTGTAGTGGGGATCAGCGCGTGGATCTGAAAAGCAGAATCTGGGTCCTCCTCCTTTTCTCAGAGCCCTGGAAATCTGCAGCAGTGGAGAAAGGAATAGCACGGGGAGCTGCAGCGCTCCAGCTGATTGGTAGTGGAGGGGGTGATGGAGAACAGCCTTATTATGTGAACCTGTACCTGTATCTTCTCATCTGGAACATCTGAATTCATTCAGACAGTGGCCTCAAGCAAAGGCTGCAAACATCAAAGACTGACTCCGGGGCACAAAAGAAGTGCAAGACCCTAGAGTGAGGTGACCCCAGAAAGGGGTTATCTGGTGCTATCAGTAGACAACAAGAGACCTGGCTTCTGCTCTGAATTTTTGACAAAGTTCTGGGAAGTCCCTGGAGGGTTATGTTATGTTATGCAGAAACTTCTCTGAGGAAAGCCACTTATAACATTATGAACTGTGGGACTTTCATTGAGAGGTGAAAGAGTATCTAGTGAAACTGATGGCCAGATAGTTATGATTAGGTAGCCAGTATCTGAAGTTTTACTAGGCAGTTTGTTATTGTCGATGAAAAGAATCGGCTGGGTGTGGTGGCTCACGCCTGTAATCCCAGCACTTTGGGAGGCCAAAGCAGGAGGACCACTTGAGGTCAGGAGTTCAAGACCAGCCTGGCCGACGAAATCCCATCTCTACTAAAAATACAAAAATTAGCTGGGCGTGGTGGTGGGCATCTGAAATCCCAGCTACTTGGGAGGCTGAGGCAGGAGAATCGCTTGAACCTGGGAGGCAGAGGTTGCAGTGAGCCGAGATCACGCCATTGCACTCCAGCCTGGGCAACAGGAGCAAAACACTGTCTGAAAAAAAACAAAACAAGAAAAAGAGTCAAACTCTGTAAAATATTTGAAGAAATTTATTCTGAGCCTAATATGAGTGACCATGGCCTATAACACAGTTCTCAGGAGGTCCTGAGAACATGTGCCCAAGGTGGTTGGAGCGCAGCTGGTTTTATACATTTTAGAGAGGCGTGAAACATCATATACATTTAAGAAATACATTGGTTTGGTCCAGCAAGGCAGGACAACTCAAAGCTGGTGGGGAGTTGGGGGGGGTGCTTCAGGCTATAGGTGAATTTAAACATTTTCTGATTGACAACTAGTTTTGTCTAAAGACCTGGGATTGATAGAAAGGGAATGTTCAGGTTAAAATAAAGATTGTGGAGACCAGTTCTTTTGAAGTCTTATAGTGGCTGCACTTAGAGACAACAGATGGCAAATGTCTCCTTTTCAGATCTTAGTTAATCTCTTTAGGATTGGAAAGGTCTGGAAGAAAAAGATCTGCCTATGTTAATAGAGATTCTTTACAGATGCAAATTTCCCCCCACAAAGAACAGCTTTGCAGGGCCATTTCAAAATGTGGCCAAGAAACATGTTTTGGGGCAAAATACTTTTTCTTTTTTGTCTGGTAATGTTATGCCCGAGTCAGGTTGGAACGTAAAACATGATAGATAGGGTTAAATAAAACTCATCTGATGAGAATTCATGATTTGTAGGGCATGACTCCCCAGACACGTTAGATAGGAGTTTGGGCAAGATAAAAAAAATCAGAGTTTAGTCCTTATTAACAATAACCTTTGCTGACGCTATAGTGCTTACTACCTTAGTAAAATGTCAGGTAGCCTAGCCATAGTTTCCACAATGTTCCTACACATCACCTCTGACTCTGAAGTATGGTTCACAAGGTGTTGACCTCGTTGTTTTTCAGGAACTCAAGACTCAGCCCTAAACTCAGCTCAAGCTGGTCAAGACCACCAGCCCTTAAACTGAGTTTGTGTGAACATCCCATGGGTGACCTTTCCATATCACATCTGGAATTTCCACCATGTTTCATACCAACTCCCCCAAATTGGTACGTGCAACCAATATTGTTTCAGTAACAGTAACCTATGGTGTAACTTATGGGTAATGTAAGATACGTGAATGTATTTTATTTATTTATTTATTTATTTATTTATTTATTCATTTTGGAAACAGAATCTCCCTCTGTCACCCAGGCTGCAGTACAGTGGTGCCATCTTGGCTCACTGCAACCTCCATTTCCCAGGCTCAAGCAAATCTCCTGCCTCAGCCTCCCAAGCAGCTGGGACTACAGGCGGGCACCCCCATGCCCAGGTAGTTTTTTGTATTTTTGGTAGAGGTGAGGTTTCATCATGTTGGCCAGACTGGTCTCGAACTCCTGACCCTAAGTGATCTGCCCATCTCAGCCTCACAAACTGCTGGGATTACAGGCGTAAGCCATTCATTGCACCTGGCCTTGAATGTATTTTATATCAACATTCACAAGGCCACTCCTACCTGAGCCACCTTGGTTGAGTTTGTCACTGGACCACCTAGCTATTAGAATGTCAGAATATTCCATTTATATCCAGAACTTTTCTTCAAACTTCAGCTCATGTCAAGCAATCATTGAATAACAGGGAATCATGTGCTGATAGATTCTGTGGGGCACGGGGGAGATTGTTTCTATGGAACTGAACCGGGGTCTGATCGTCCGGCACAGTAAGATCAAACATCCACACCAAGGTCTGTAGCAGGAGAAAGGAGGGAGTTTATTTGCAAGGCAACAAACAAGGAGAAGCTTGGGGCTCACACTGAAGACCTGACCTCTCTGATGACTTCAGGTAAGGGTTTTTAAAGGCAGGAATAAATTTCAGGAAAGCAAAAGTTACAGGCAAAATAGTAAATTAGTATGTGGAGATTATACATTAGTTTGGCTGAGTAAGGCGAGATCTTGAAGCACGGGCTCACAGGTCATAGGTAGATTCAAAGATCATCTGATTTGCAATTGGTTAAGAAGATGAAAGTTTGTTTAAGAATAGGGCGTCAGCAGAACAGAACATAAGTTTTGGATCATGGGTATGACTTTCTCCAGGCCACTCGAAAGAATTTAGAAGAACAATGGTCAGAGTTTAGTCTTCAGTTTCCCCCTTATCTGAGGTCTACAGGCCAGCAGATCTGTTTGGTGGGGGTCTGAGTTTCTGAAGAACTCAGGGACATATGTTAAGATGTTATTTTTAGTTTCTATAGGGACCCAAACATCCCCTGATTCTAACGTCCCTGGCTATTGTTTTAAGCTAGTATTACCTTCTTGCTTATCTAGTTCTTCCTCTTTTTTTCTTTTCAAGGCTAGCTAAGAAATTGAAGATTTTCCTTTATTTCCATGCTGGGTGGGGGAGGGTGCCCTGCTAGCCTCTAAGATAGATCCCTGCTCTGTCTCATTGCCTCAGAGCAGGTTCTGTGCATCCTCCTGCTCTCCAGGTCTTTTGATGATAGGGAAGAGATAAAGGAAACAATTCTGGGCATCTGGATTTGGATGGCTTGAGAAGCGATTCTGAGGGAAAATCAACTGTTTGTCATGTGCCCACACATCCAGAGCTCTTTCCAACAAGTGTGGATTCTCTATTGAAGACTTAAATTCAAGCAGTGACTCAAGGAATGTAGAGAGAGGTGGGAGAGAGAAGCCACCTGAGCCAATGTTTGAAGAAGCAAGCTAAGAAAGAGCTCTATAGCTTCTCAAGGCATCATATCTTATGATCTATTCTAGGACATCAGTGAGTCATTTTGAGAAGTTTTAGAAGTAATGCATTTGAAAGCAGTTTTTAAACAATCAAATATAACAAAATGCAGGCTTGGCTGCTTGCAAAACCAATAACAAGGACAAGATGCAGTGAAAAGAAAGTAACTTTGCTCCAGAGCTAGCACTGGGGAAGTAGCCCTGGCTTGTGCCTTAAAGGAACCATTTCAAACTTTAGCCTGGGGAGAGGGGCTTACAAAGGGAACTTACAGCGGGTGGCCTGCAGGGAGTGGTGCTGGGTACGGGTCTGCACGTCTTGTTCTGGTGGCTATCTTGAGTCATGGTCCACCTGGAGCATGAGCAGGCATCATCCCCACAATGGCCAGGTTGTTGACTAGCTGCTTTGAGGTAATCTCTGGAATTTTGCAGCTGGGTTTTCACGCCTAGGTCTTAGTCCCTAAAACTTCTAAGTAAGCACATATTTAGACGCAAGCATACAGTCAGATAAATGTATGCGAAGTAAGGGAGTGTACAGTGGGAAAGGGGGGGAAACAAAGACTCTTAGTATATTTCAAAGCTATGCATTAAGACTGAGGAGGGGAAAAAATTTCTGCAGTTTGCTTCAAGGTTGTATCTTGAGACTAAAAAAAAGAGAGAAAAAAGAAAAAGGTTTTAAAATGCATTCTTCTTTTTTTTTTTTTTTGAGACGGAGTTTTTGCTCTGTTGCCCAGGTTGGAGTGCAGTGGCGTGATCTCGGCTCACTACAACCTCCACCTCCTGGATTCAAGTAATTCTCCTGCCTCAGCCTACCAAGTAGCTGGGATTATAGGTGCCCTGCCACCACACCTGGCTAATTTTTATATTTTTAGTAGAGATGAGGTTTCACATGTTGGTCAGGCTGGTCTCAAACTCTTGATCTCAGGTGATCCACCTGCCTAGGCCTCCCAAAGTGCTAGGATTACAGGCCTGAGCTCCGCGCCCAGCCTAAAATGCATTTTTGAAGTTAAGTTACATGGTTACGGCTCCCCACTGTCAAATCCCATCCATTTCTATGGAAAGTGGTCAATGCCGTCAATCTGGCTACTTTCTGCTGAAAAGAGGCATAATTATGAGGTAGTAGGATGGAATCTGCATACCTGGAGTTGCAAATATTCTTGAATCCAAGATTGACAGTGGGAACTTGCTGGAGTATTTTGGTGTGGGGAACTAAGAGCTGCTGAGAAAGTCTGTCTTGCATCCCCATACGGAGTGCACAACAGCAATAAAATCCATAGCAGCTGAAGAAGACACTGAGTAGAATGCCAATTATACTATAGATGAGTCTTCCACGCACTAGGGAGTTGACTAAAGCATGCCATCACGAGGCCTTGGGATGAGGCATCTATGGCGGAAATATAGTTATTTAAGGCCTTCATAGCTAGGGTTACACTGTGGGAATAATCTGGTGTATATGTGTGTGTATACACATACACACACACACACGCACACACACAAGACTCAGTCTTAGTTAATGCACATGTGCCACCTTAGGCTGCAGGCAGGATATCTAAGGCCATGCAGTTCTTTAAGACTCTGTCTAATCTGTAAGGTTTCTTGAGGGAGAAAGATGATGGCAGAGTGAGTGTTATTAAAGGCAGCAGCCATATGCTTAGCTACGGCCTCTACTTGTAATTTTACATCTATTGCCGCC